AGAAGTGCTTCGTTCCCAAATGTGATTCGGGGTACCGGAACTGTGCAGAGCGAGTGCCCTTGTTTAAAGCTCTATCGAATGACGCTCGCCTGGAGCAGTAGTGGAAGAAAGACGCTCTGGGAGGGACCCCATACTTGGGCGCCATCTATCCCCGTGCGAGTGAAGTCTGGAGCAAGGTGGAAGAAACACGGTTGAACTCTAATGAATTCGTTATCTATGGTATCTATCTACCCGCTCCATTCACGGTGCTGCGGTAGCCTCAATCTGGTTATATTTCTAGCTTTATAAATTCAATATACAAATATAACGCAACATTTTACAGATTATCTTAGTACGTATCAGTGGCCTTAATGTGGGAGAGTTTAAAAAAAAATCGAAGATGACCTTTTCTTTTTAATAATTGAGTTTCAAAATAACTCGTAATCATTAAAATCACCTCACTTGAGCGTTTCAACCATATTTATCGCCAATATTAACAAGATACAGGATAACACGCCGGCAAAGTTTGAAAGTTCTGATATTTATAGATGCGGAGAAAAAAAAGAACAAATAAAGTGTAAGTATTTTTGCGGAATGTGCTATGTTTGCGATTTTTTCAAGAATTTAACAACGTCGATGCTTAATTATAAATATGCTGAGTCAATCCTACTTATACGTAGTTTTTCAGTAAGTATTTCTACACCAGCAGGTACAACAGTTTGTTGGGGAAAGGTGCCTCAAATGCCAACTTCGCGCAATTCGCAGAAAGCGCTTCGCACTGTCAGCGTGCTTCTAATTTTTTTTTTTTTTTTTTTCTGCCACGACAATTTTTTTTTCGCAGAACTTATTTTGGTTTTGTTCTGATGCGCATTGAGTCTACAAAATATTTTTTTTCGCAAAAAAATAAAATTGTCATTGCACATGGTCGGCAGAATTTATCTGAAAACACCCTATAGTTTTACGCGGAGCGTAGGATTTTCCACCGTTTATTCTAAGGGAAATCGGCGATTGCCATCATGTGCATTTGTTGTCTAAGTATCGGTGATCTCCTTCGGTGATAACTTTAAAAGCGGTGATTATCGCAGAGAAAATGTCATGAAAAACTAACTAGAAGTCTATGAGGGGAGTGTTTTGACCAGAACAGCCCTGGTTAAAGTAAACATATCCTGAAATGTGTCTTCCAGTTTTAACCGATTTTCTATTTTTCTTTTTAATGCCGACGGATGTTTATCAGTATTTCTCCGTTAAAAACGGAAAGTCTACGGTTCAGTTATGCATAATTGTTGCAAAGTCCCATATACGTAAAAAATGCCTTACGTCATTTAAAGAGCCATAAAGTCGAATACCGATCATTTAAAACAGGATAAAATTCAAATGTCATTGATCGCGTCTGCTACGAAAATGTCGCTGCCCCGAAGGGGGATACATTTGCGAACGGGGTTGCAACCTCAGTTCTGCTCGCCGCAAGCGTGTCGAATCTGTGTTATCCATTTTCAAGCGTGGACTGCTCTTGCCGTCATCCTCTGAGAATGGTAACAAAACGAAGTGCAAATAAATCTACCAGGCTACAATAAATCACGCCACCCTGCACCTAATGGCTCTTGGAATCCCGTTATGACGCCCTTTATGCAACGCCGGCGCTGTAAACAATTCGAATACACCGGATCAGCGAAGAAAAGAGCGTCACTTGATCCCGTGGGCACACTTCCCCAAATGGCTCCCTTGCGAAGTGGGGAAGCACTTCGACGAAGCGCAAAAGCTGCATTCCTTTTTCTTTTTTTCATTTTGTTTAGCGATTGGTGTTTTTCTTTTGTGTGTGTGTGTGTGTGTGTGTGTTCTTTTACGCGTGCATAGCTCGAGGACGTACACATTTGAGTGCTCACAGAGCTAACGTGGACATGGCGCCATTTATAAGATACGGAGTTTTCTTATCCCAACACCTGCGCTGCGGATTATTACTCAATATGTTAAATATATACCTCGTTTCAGCAACGAAATCAGAGCGACAGAACGAAGCACGTGACAATAGACCCTCTTCAAAAGTCTATTAAACAACAATAAAAACCGCTTTTTTTTTTTTTTGGAGGGGGGGGGGGGGGGGGGGGTCTGTTTTTAGCGCAAGCGTGTGATTTGATCCGAACTGAATCCGAGCGCTGACACAATACTCGTATCAAATTGACACAGCATCCTCTGGAGGGTAAGAGTGCCTACATGCCTGTCTGTCTCAGGGTGAAGACATCCTCTTTAGCACTGAGTGGACCAGCGCTTGACTTGTGCGCTAAAAATGGCGCCACACCAGATGCGCGCACACCAAAAGTCGTAAAAAAACAAAAAAAAAAAACAAAAAGGAAAAAAAAAACGCCTGGGCAGAAAATTGGTTGAGTTGGAATGTTCATGACTTAAATTTACAGAGGTGTACCGGTCGTAGCCTGGCTCAAGTATATTTGCACGAACCGCCACTGATTCGGAATCATCTTGGTCGCGCTGAAATTGCGAGGTAAAAGGGGGACTATTTCTTTCAGTCTTGCCTTCCCAAAACTTGATGACGTAATTGTCGGATCAAAATCACCCGCCTGATGACAGTCGAGCTGGTCGAGCGCGGCTCATGGATTGGGCGCAAGAACTGAGCGAGCACTCGACTTCGGCTCGTAAAAATCGATGCCTCGGCGGACACTCGTGCAGTGGCTCGTGTCCCACCACTGCGGTGATGATAATAGCCGAACTCTAACAATGCCTGGAGCTCAGCACGCGTTTTCTGCTTTGCCGACTCCAGCGCGGGGGTGTGATTAACGTTGTAGGCATAAGATAGGCAGCAGGCAACGTGGCCGCTTGTTCTGGCTCCGAGTTGAGGGGATAAACGATGATCACTATTCTCAATTCTTTTTTCTTTTTTTTTTTCAGCGACTGTTATTGTTTAGAAAGCAAAACTAAGACAAGTTTATTCGGTTATTAACGCTAGGGAGTGATTCTGGGTGGTATTTAGAGAAAGTAGAAAAATTGCTTCATGTTTAAAGGGCAACTCCGCTTCGTTTTTGTTTTTAGAGAAGCAATGCAGTCCTCTTTAGTATGACCTAGGAAGACCACAGGTCAAATATTACGAGCTATGCGGAGACCAAGTCGTCTGCTTCGTGCGCAGCAGTTGTGTTAACGTCAAAATAGGCGCCGAGCTCTGATTGGCTCTGATTGGAAGGATGGAGGGTAGACCTCAATGCTAGATGCCTTCGGGTCTACCCACTAGTCTTCATTCAGAACCAATCAGAGCTCAGGGTTCTGATGTCACCACAACCCAGGCACGTAGCCAGGATTTTGATTCGGGAAGGGGGGGGGGGGGGGGGGGGGGGCGCCCATGACAAAGTTTTGTGTGAGGGGAGGGCGGAGATGAGGCCCCAGCAAAATGAAAGATTTCGGGAAGAATCTCACCAAGCGTTCGGCGCATGCGTGAAACCGCCATAACTTTAGTTCACAAGAGGCAGGCGGCAGTGCTGGAGACGCCTCGTGCGGTCTGGTGCTCTGCACGAGCAGAGCTCCAGCGAGGTTGGGGCACGTGTAGAAATACTAAAGTTTCCTCGATGCACTGAGGACAGCGATGGCGTGGCCAAACTAGTGTTTTTTTGGGTTATGGGGATATTTATACAAACTAGTGTTCCTGTATAGGCTCCCTACGGGAGCCAGAGTTCCGCGTCTGTTTTCCACGTGCCGCCAGCGCACCGCGCCGCTATTCGCCGAGATCCGATCGCGTGAGGAGCCGGATCAAGTGCCGTGCAGGAAAGTAGACGTTGCACGTGCCCCGCCGTGCGTTTCCATGCTTTTGAGCGCGCCGCGCGCCTCGAATGCGCGGCGCCGCTATTCGCCGAAGTCAGTCACGTGAGGAGTGGGATCAAGATGCCGTGCAGGAACGACGGCGCTACGGAGATGAACGCGCAACTCTGGCTCCCGTAGGGAGCCTATACAGGAACTCTAGGCCAAACTGGCTAGTGAAATTTGTCTATTAGGTATCCTTTTTTTTTTATAACTCGCTAGGGTAAGTTTTCACACAAAATATGATTGCACGATTCAAACTCTGGATAGTTGAGCTCGTTGGTACTTGTTGTACATAATTAGGCCACACAGCGCTGTAACCCCTATAAAACAACGACAAAGAGAAGGAACATGTAAGCTGGATGGCGCTTAGCTGCTCTCGGAGCCCGGCGCAAGTGAAGCCACCGGAAGTTCGGTGCTTGTCCCGGAAGTCGGGCGTGCGCTTGTCTTCCTAGTGCATTCAGTCGATATTTTGGACCATGCTTTTTTGTGTCTTTCATTGGGTTTTAATACTCCCATTCTGGATTAAATCCCGAGAATGAGGCATTTGAACTTGGGACATATTCACAATTTGATCAACTAGAATCTCAAAATGTTTACATTGCATGGCTTCCCATGATACTTCTCGGGTTCGCATGCGCCCTTACTGCGCAACAACCAGGCTCTCTTGAGGGAACAAGCGAAAATCCAGCGCCCTCGACGCTTTTCGAACCAGCACTCGGAAGGGTTACAAAACCTGCCAAGGGCTCACTTCCGGGACAAGCATCTCACTTCCGGTGGCTTCATACCTGTTTGCTCAATGCGCCATCCAGCCCCCTCTAGTGGAGATCAGTGTGTACGACAGGACAAGCGCGGACTCACAACTTTAACCAGGAGAAAGAAAATATACGACAAGACAGGCGTTACGAGTCTGCACCTGCCCTGTCGTGTATGTTCCTTCTCTTTGTCATTGTTTTATAGTTATAGTGGTTACAGCGCTGTGTGGCCGAATTATGTACAACTGCCAACAAGGTCAACTATCCAGGGATTGAATCGTGCAATCATATTTTCTGGGAAGGTACTCTAAGCCAAAAAGATTTCATAAACATGATTTTTGAACAATAAAAAAATTTCGTTAATTTTTCGTTTATTTATTTATTTATTTATTTTTTTGTTTATCGCGGTTCTAATTGCATGACGTACTCTGCTCACCAGACTCGCCAAAGAGGAGGACGAAGTTAGCGATGGGCCTGCGCCAGTCTCAGCAAGGGCAGGAAGCGGAGGAAGAAGACGAAGGCTCCAGTGCCGTCGCCACCGGTGTGAACCGTGGTCTGAGGAACAACAGTCACAACAGCGGCAGTCCCCACAAGCAGCGAGCCGTGATGCAGCCGAAGTTGGACGCCAGCAAGACATCCCGGATGTCCCTACCAGAGGTGGACATGGACGACGCTGTGAAGATCTGGTGCAGCCAGAGCCAGCCCAGCCAGCAGCAGTGCACGGGCCCCAGCGCTTGGATGGTGGCCGACCAGGAACACTCGTCGCCGGCGTCTAGCGTGTACGACGACGACCAAGAACTGAGCAGTGAGACGACGAGCGACTCGTCGTCGGAGACCACGTCCACCACAACCATTTCGTCTGGCATGCTTCGGCAGTGGAGGTGCATCCGCAAGCGCTACGCCGACAACCCCGATGTCCTCGGGGAGATTCTGGTCTACAGGTGTGGTGTGGTCCCCGTTTGTACCACGTTCGAAACGTTTCTTTTATTGTGAAATACGTTGAAAATAATGGCTTTAGTCAAGGACGTATTTTGATCGGTGATTTTTTATGGTGAAATTTTAGAACGTTTAACCTATTTCTGCGGCATACAATAGTGAAGAGTGCGCGTGCACAGCTTGCAGCGACGCTCAAGGTGCGCGGGCGCACGGGGTCTCGTAACGTCGACTTCATTGCCACAGAATGCTGCCCTCGAGTATTGGCGACGTGCGCAACCAGAAGCGTCCTTGTGGCCGACCTTCCACAATTGGCCAGACGCTGACTATGACGCCTCGAGTAAAATGAATTCTTCGTGTTAGTGGGAATGAGAGGAACGTCAAACCGTCATCTTCGAAGGTGTTGGTTCCACGACGCGGTGACTCTAAGCTTCCACAGCGATTTCTACGTGCACCGTCGAAAGTGTCGTTGGCAATTGATGATCCCGCTCGTAACGTCACGGATACGAACCATAAAAGAGAGACACCAAAATATCTAATCGAGGTCAGGGGTTGAAAAATATCTGGTTGCAGAGCAGTTTTACAAGAAAGACATGGTCCTTTAAGTGCCAGTGACTTATTTTTTTTTTCTAATATATATATTGTTTAAAGTTAAAAAAGAAAACTATTTTTTCAAGGTCTAAAGAATTAGTTTACTCTGTGTAATTAGGGTTTTTCGTTTTCGAGTCATATTTTTCAAAAACCGGGGGTCAAAATCGGGTACTATTTTCCAGACCCATAATATTAATGGTGATGTTTATTTCCACCATAAGATGATGGCGATCAGGGAAAAAAGCTGTCAGTTACAGCTTGACGGGTCCCTGACCGCCTAAAGAAAGCAGCAACGGAGCCGGGAAAACAGTAATCAACAAAAAATTGTACAAAAAGTTTTGCTATCACAACATTTTAAGCACGAATTTTAGATTTTTTTTTTTTTTATTGAGGCATGACGGGACAGGGCAGTCGGGAAGAAATCGGCTTTTTTCGGAAACCAATTCGGATTTTATAGGGTCCTATTTATTAAGGAGAAATACAATAAATAGTTTTCTACTCGATCAAACGTCAACAAAGTCTATATGATATAGGTATGATTTTTGAGCGCGCATGATCGTTTTACCTTCTGACCCATTCTGAAGCGAATCTATGCCGAGGTTACGAAAATTAAAGAAGCTCTTGAGAATCAAAAGAGTGACAGAGGCGACAAATTTGAAACAGATCCAGAATCGTTTTTTCTTTCCATAAAGTCACATGATTTCAAGGCTGATTTTCGAAAAGAAATCAGGTTTAACCCAATTTTTATAAAACTGGATCGGGGGGAAACGTCGGGTAATATCGGGTTTTACCAGAAAACGGAGAGGCCCTCTGCATAATATACTGTTTGTCGAATTACCTCTGAAATCGTACCTACAAGTTACTCATCTGAGGAAGTAAGAACGAAAATTCAACATGGAGAGGGTTGTAAAAGCTATTCTAGAACAAATTTATTGCAGTGAAATCTGCCAGAAATCTGTCAAAATGTAACGAACACTAATAAAACGTCCAAAAGAAAGTCATAGATGGATTTGAACCGCAGTCGATCGGAGACCCAAGTCCCCTTTTTATGGTCCCCTTTTCACAGCGGGATGTGTCCCTTGTTCCAGGGTGCTGACGTACATGGGCCACCCGCACTGGCGCAAAAGCGTGCGGCCGCAGGGCACCAGCCCCAGCCTGACGACGGTGCTGCAGGCCACCATGGCGCTACGACTGGAGGAACTGCGCCAGAAGCGGCTCCAGATGGACGCCGCCTGGCAGATGCTCAAGGTCAACTCACCCCTCAGCCGCTTCGTGCTCGAGTCCAAGCGCCAGGCCGTGGCCGAGCTCGAGGCAAGCGTAATAATAGATACCATGAACCATTCCATCCCTCCGGCTTCCATCTTTGTCCTGGGCCATGGTCCCGCTTGAGTCGACTGTAGTAATATATTAGTATGGGCCATCCCCATAACCGTCCTCCGATTGTTGTTATCTTCGTCTGCTGGGCTATGGTCCAACTGGAGGCAAGCGTTGTAATCAGATACTGGGCCATTCCATCTTTCTGAACGTTTCCATCTTTGTCTACTGGGCCAGGGTCCAGCTTGAGCCAGGCGTAGTAATAGACATAGACCCTTTTGGTATTCGCCTTCAGCGTCCTGCAATTTTTGTCGAGTCTACTGGATTGTGGGCAGCGTTCGGGTTGTTTGCGATGGCTCTCCATTTAGAAATATCGCACGCCGCGCGAGGCTCACAGACCGGTGATTGCGCGAATTTCACCTGGATAATAACCATGAAATGAACTTAAAGACGCCTTGTTTTTCTTTCAACGGGCTTCGTCGTGCGTGTGTTGGGCCCACATAGGCCTTGGGCTACCGATTGGCGGGACACGACAAGGGAAGAAGGCTGCTACGGAGTTGGAGGGGCAGGAAATGCTGCTTAACTAATGGTTCAAAGGCTAGAGAATAACGGCGGTTTGCGTGACGTCACGTTCTCACCTCCTCCTCGCTCAAGGAGCTGGTGGCGTGTGCTGAAAGAGGGTCTAGTAATTCCTTTTCTTGCAGTAGTTTCTTCGACATGTGGCCTTGTTTGACGTTCGACTCACACAAGTAATGATGGTATTGCCAGAATTTAAAAAAAAAATGTTTTCAGTCTTTCTTTAAGATATAATTAATAACCGACATGCCCCTGTATTCAAGATGGCATCCGCGAGACCGTGACCAGAAATATGTCAACTTTTTTGTGCGACGTTATCGAGGCTAGCGTAGATTCCACGGTGCTGCAGGCTGCCATTGAAAAGACAGTGTGTGACTTTGTCTTGCGTTTCATTCGCACGCGCTTTCGTGAGAACGAAACGCCCAACCGCACGCCTATATCCAAACGAAAGCCACGCACTCGTGCAAGTAACTTTGACAGCGATGGAGCACTTTGTAAACTGCGGCTAGCCTTGACAACCTGTCACCAAAAACGTTTACAAATAAGCCCGCGTTCGCGTGCGCATAGAAGCCAGATTCGCAAGAAGTGAGGCGTCTGGCAACGCGCTGTGACAACAGCAGCGCCACCGCAGCGGCGTGACGTCACAGCCGCGTGTTGATGTATAATTTGGGGCGGCTCATATTTAACTATATTGCATTTTCCAAATCGTATTTTACCTTATTGCAAAAGTATCTAGCCGGGGTAGCACATTTCAGTCACGATTCGTTTCCTTGCAGAAAGAGCTGCTTTCCATTCGCGTGGATAATGTGAAGGTTCGATGACCCGGATCCAGAGACACTCTTCGATAAATACACTACTGGAGTGAGCTTCGCAATCCATGGTCATCTCTCTCCTCGAGCAGTTTTGGCTGGCGCGCGTCCCTTTGCACAACAGTCGATAGTGCGTGAAAGCGTCCGGAATAAAGTGGGGTTTCGTTTCCCATCAACGGTTTTGTTGCATCCTTGAAAGTGATGTAGTGCATAGCGGGTATTCACTGAACGCCATATTTTAGTGCGCTGTTCACCAACGTTACTAGTTGCTGTTCTCTGCGCATGCCGCGAACGAAATCACATTTATAGGTTGCTAAGACCGACAACCTTGATGCTGTGGAATGCACGTTGAAAGAGAACCATGGAAGCTTGCCGTCAGCCACGCGCTCGGCAGCCGCGGTCTCAGTTATGGCCGCCAGTGAATACTCCATATGCGCCGTGAAACTGTGGGAGAGGAGGAGACGAGAACGCGAGGGGACTTCAGAAAGTCGAGCTCTGGTTGGAATGATTGGTTGGGAGACCTAAAGCTAGCTTTCTTTGTCTCCACTGCCGTAGCCTCCTCAACGAAACTCACAAAGCCTGGCAGTTCGACTACGAAACCATAGTGTGCCCGGTCGCAAATTTGGAGCGCGAGGATCTGGTAGCCCAGAGCATTAAAGATCCATTTTTCGGGGAACCTGGACGTCAGCTTTTGCACAGCTTTTGCGCAGCTTTTGCAGCGGCGAGGACCCGAAACGCACTCGTTCGCTCGGGAGAAGTTGCTTTGGCGTCTCGCCGCAGCGGGGCGCCAGTCACGTGGCTCTCCTCTGATCTGTCGTGTGCCGCTCCACCTTTCCCGTTTCGGCGGCCGCTTCTTGTGGCAATTTGCCAGGCTTTGTCAGTAAATAGGAGGCCATGCCTTTGCACTCGTTAAACGCGTTAGAAGGCGGAACGCCGGCGTCTGGCTTTTGGCTTTTGCATTCAGACGCGTTCGACGAGTGCAGTGGAAACTACCACCACTGTATAATGCTCGGGAGCATTATACAGTGGCGCTAGTGGAGAAAAATTCAGCTAGCCCTAGGTCTACCCACTAATCCCTCGAACCAGCGTTCTTACGTCCCTCAGTTCTCATCGCATACTTTGTTTCACCTGCGACCGTATACGAGTCAACAGGACCCATCAAAGAGTGTTAAAGGGGCAGCGTCATGGTGTTCGTCATCTTTCCGCGTGTCTTCTATCATCGTTAAACAAATCATGTAAAGGATACGTCTAGCGGCTTGCGCTTAGAGCATGTGTGTTCGCAGTTGCATGTTCGTGCCTTTGACACCGGCTGGACATAAGGTCACACGGTTACTGCGGTACTTTCTGCAGTGCGCTACACTTCTGGAGTATGCATTCTAGGTGACATGCGCGACCAAAAGCGTCGCTGTGATCGGTGTTCCACGACTGGCTAAACGCCCGCAATGACGTCTTGAGTATGACGAATTCTCCTTTAATTAATGTAAATAAGAGCAACGTACTATACTGTCAACTTGGACGGTGTTGGTTTACGAACGCGACAACTTCAAGTTTCCGCTGTGACTTTTACGCACACCTTTGAAATTGTCGCTGTCAATCGATGATCCCGGTTGTGACATCAAATAGAGGAACCTCCTCTTGAACAGGTTGGCATACGCCCTCTCCTCTGTAGCTTTGGCTGCACTCCACGGTTTTAGTGATACTATGGAAACGGGGTTGCGGCTTGCGGCACCTCTTTCCACATTAGCGGAGCGAATGCTGGAGAAGAGTTCCCCTCCTCTCCAGCGCTCGCTTTGCTAATGGGGAAAGAGGTGGGAGGAGCTTCCCCTAAACTCTTACGAGGTTCGAATGCCACGCGCGCCGCGGTGGTGGGTGGAACTAATCGTCGATTTACCGCACATTCGGCTATTTGGTACAGCAAGACCACGTAGCTCGTTCTAAGAGTGATATCAAAAATGAAAATTTGAGTGCTAAGAAAACGCCCTTGCGTTATGAAACTTGGCGGTATAACTGGACGATGTGGTTTCTTTCGGTCATATGCGATGACTGGAAAATCGCGTTCACGGACAGCAACCTCATTTGCGTACCTCCATCAGACGAATTTAATGGTTATACCCGGCGGAAGTGGTAAGCCAAATTGTAAAAGTGTTCCGTCGTAATCAAACTGCTGGCGACCCTGGGACGCATTTTTTTTTATCTGGTTTCACAGCTTCCTTTCTTTGCTGCAAGGGCTCTCAACTTTAGGTGCTGTAAAATATACGCGATTTCACAAAACGTTGCAAAATGGGCAATTGGGCGAGTTGGTAAGAGTTCATAATTACTTACAGCGCGACTGGGACAAGGACAGACAGAGGAGAAACACAGAAACACAGGGCAAGCGCTGAACTGGGCGTTGCCTCAACATAAGACTAAGAGAACACCACAGTTCTATGAAAGGAACCGCTCACACGCATCTCGCGATGCATTGCCGGGATTGCGGATGCCAACCCCTGTTTAACAAGACTACAGTGATGTTCCGACACAACCACAAACTACCCCGAGAAATGATGGAGACGTACCACATAACAAAAACCGGATCCTTGTGTGTGAGCCAGCCCACAGTGACTTTGATGAAGAGCGAGATCGGCTTTTTGGATCTCGGATAACTTGGCCGGTTTCGCATTGAGTGAAAGAAGAAGCGCCAGGGCCACGGAGGGGCATGCCTGCACGAGGAGCAGCAGCATCACATGTATTTTCAATAGAATCAGTTGCTAGTTCAGCGCTTGTCCTGTGTTTCTGTGTTTCTCCTCTGTCTGTCATTGTCCCAGTCGCGCTGTAAGTAATTATGATCACAAAACGTTGTTATGGCTGCTGTCATTCTTGATGTTTCTGCGTTTGGCGTGGGCTTACCCGCTTGCAAAGGTTGCAAGCTCACGCCACTAAACTATACGAATATTTATCGCGAGGTGAACTCTTACCTTTTGTGAACAGCGGAATTGTGTACGCGTCAGCTAAATGAATCCCCAGTAGCTGTTGGTCAAAACATAGAGCTGTTGAGGACAGTTTGTAACTTCACCAGTAGTGGCTCCATATGCACGAATTATCGTTCACATCGACGAGGTGCCGGGGGGAGGGAGATGTTAGCGTTTGCGGTCCAGTTTAGCGGCTTCCACTCTTTACATCGCCGCAGATCACTTTAGAGATTTAACACCAAAAGGTTTGAAGGCAAAATATCGTTACAAACAAACTGATCCCCTGCCGAACCGGGACTGTTTGTACCGCCCGAACACACCTTCCTCTTTCCGCCACGGAGTTCACGTCACAGCGTCATATCGCAAAAGCCTGACGTTTTTGTTGAACAATGCGCACACCGGCGAGAAAATCCCCAAGATTTCTCCCTCATGTGAATACCGCTTTAAAGACGCTGCTGTTAAATGGAAACATTGATTGACTTTCGGAGTCCTCGGTGAGAATAGCTCTCTCACGCGAAAACGTTATCTGTGTACGAGCGCTTTCTCACAAAACGTTCGCAAAATCTATCTCTTTTGTGTACAGAGAAAACTCGTTAAAAGGCGGGGCCAAGCCAGCTTGGCAACCGCTCCTCCAAAAGATAACTGCGATGTGAAACTGGGTATGACGTCTTTCGCGCCACGTCATGAACGGTGTCACACCGGGGGCTTTACTTGATTGTTAAGACATTTTTTCTTCCTTATACTTCGGCGAGCTCCATCAGCAGATCGCAGTGATCGACTGTCACGTTAGAAAATAGACGCGCGAGCGATTCTGAGATCTCACAAAAACTTATGCGATCTCACACACAATCACGTGAACTCACAAACATTCACACAAACCCTCACAAACTAAGCCAGACTCTCACGAACTCCCACAGAATCACGTGAACTCACACATTCGTACAAACTCACACATACTAACCCAAACTCCCACAAACTCACACGAACTCCGGATTAACGACACAGTGCTTCCAAAAGACAGGATATTCGCCGATTAAGGAAGGACAGAGTTTCGTTTTGTGTACCTGTTTTATTCTCGAGGAAGTGGGACTGAGAAAGGAGAGGGTTTTTTTTCCCGGAAATAGCACGGGCGCTCTTGGTTCCAGCATCCCGGGTCGGTACTGGGTTGATGTCACAGTCACTCACCAGCTTTGGTAAGCCGGCGCGCACCTTTTACTTTGTTTAAGGTTCACAGAGACGATTTGGTCAGGCCGACGCTTGTCACGTCTCGCTCTCGGTGTTTTTTGTTTGTTTTCTTTTTGTTTTCTTTCTTGGTACTAAAGGAGGCCTAGAACACGTCAACAACAAACAGGGCTGCTATAACTGCTGCACGTTCTCGCGGAAAAAAAGATTCCGCGATTGGTCAATCAGTCACCGAACAAACTTCTGGAGAGCAAAAAAAGAATTAACGTGCACACTCAAAGACAGGGACACTGGACTCGCTGCTTGCATACGCACCAAGTTTCAACATACGACCGAACGAGTGTCCGAACACCAACCACGGATGCGCAGAGAGCGCCACCTGCGAGGGCCCACGGGAACAGACCTTTCACTGACGATACATCCCGTTTCACACTGTCAGAGCATGCGACGCTGTCGGACAACATGGTCTGCGTAAGAAAAACTTACAGCTGTTCGATATGACGACCAAGCCAACATATGCAGAATTGAGTACTCGCCTCGTCGTCCTCTCTCAGCTAAACCCATAGAGTTTTTTTGTTTGTTTTTTTCACGCCCCTTAAGGGCATACGGTGTGCCAATGCTCGGAGTCGCAGCACGACTCTTACGAATGACGAGAAAAAACTAAAATGACGATTAGGCACGAATATAGCGCTTAAGGTGACCCTTGGTTCGGCTGATAAGCTGTCATGAACCTTCATAGGTTTGAGAAAGGAGCTTTGTATGCAGGACGGCTATCCGAGACGGCGAACTGAAACTTTGATCGTTTAAAAAGTTAGGCGCCACATTGACTGACGCACCATTCGATGGACACACAAAAATATTATGTCAACTTTAAGATGGACA